CCAGGCAAGAAAACAGATTCTCCCCTCAGAGCCTCAGTAGAACCAGCCCTGCTGACACCTTGATTTGAGCCCAGAGAAACAAATCTGAGACTTTCAACCTCTAGAGCTGTAAGATAGTACATTTCTGTTGTTTTAAGCCACTAAAAGTTTGGCAATTTGTTAGGGCAACAAAAGGACACCAATACACACTCTGAAATATAAATTCCATGAGAGATGGTCAATTTGCTGCCCATCACTTCTTCCCCAGTGCCTAGAGCAGTGTCTGGTACAGCAAGTACTCAAGCAATTGTTGAGTAAATTAATAAGTGCCAATTCCAATCGCTTGCTAACGGAGACCCCCAAACAAAGGCAAAAGCATGAGGAAATCATATCCTGACTTAAAGTGCATGAACCATGACAGAGATGTCATCACTGAAGGAGATGGTAGCACAGAACTTCTGACCCTGAGAGTGAGGCACTAACATGCGTGCTCACAACGAGCCAGACACCGTGCTAGATGCTTTATATATATGATCCCATTTGATCCTCACAACAGTCTTCCCAGCAAATGTCATTGCCATCTCATAAATGAGGTCCTTAGAGATGAAGAAATTTGCCCAATGTGTCAAGAATCGAACCCAGAATTAAATGATTACAAAGCTCTTGCTTTTCTCACAATACCAAACCTAGTAACTCACATTTCAAAGAACAGTTGACCCTTGGAACATCATGGGTTTGAAACGCAGTCCACTTGTACAAACTTTTTTTCAATAAATATGCTACTATAAATGTATTTTCTCTTATGATTTTTAAGTTTTATTTATTGATTGAGAGAGTGCACTCGTAAGAGAGAACAGGGGACAGGCATGGGGGAGGGAGAGAATCTCAAGCCAACTCAGCGCTGAGCGCATGCCTGACAAAGGGCTCAATCCCACAACCCTGAGATCATGACCTGAGCCAAAATCAAGAGTCAGACGCCTAACCAACCAAGCCACCCAGGCGCCCCATTCCTTATGATTTTAATATTTTTTCTCTAGCTTCCTTTATGGTAAGACTATAGTATATAATACATATACAAAATAGGTTTCAATTGACTATGCTCATGGTAAGGCTTCTGGTCAACAGCAGGCTATTAAGTTTGGGGAGAGTCAAAAGTTACACTGAATTTTTGACTGTGCAGCAGGAATGGTGTCCCTAACCCCCTGACTGTTCAAGAGTCAACTGTACTTGTCACATAGATTTTCTAATTTTATCCTTATTGTAAACCTAAGAGATGGGTATTATTCCCACTTAGCAAGTCAAAACCCAAAGGTTGACAGGTTCAATAACTTGCCCAAAGTCTCTAGGATGTTAGTCAGGATTTGATGCCAGGTGCTTTGATCAGAAAAGTGGTTCTGTTACACAATAAAGTTCTAGTTAAAAATTTTTCTGCAATATTCTTCTAAAATTCAATTGATTTTATTGAACCTGTGAAATTTAAGCCACTCTCATTATATTACTAGGAAAACAGTAGATCTGCAGGTTGGCTCATAACCTATCTCTGTAATTATCTATTGGTCAATTCTTTTTTCTTCAAAGTAAGCAGTCACTTTAATTTCAAAGTGATGAGGCAACTGAGGTGTCAAAATAACTAGTAAAAATACAGACAAGTGGTCATGATTTACATGTTAAAAGCTATAACTTTGGGGCGCCTGGGTGGTTCAGTCAAACGTCTGCCTTTGGCTCAGGTCATGATCCCAGGGTCCTGGGATTGAGTCCCACCATCGGGCTCCCTGCTCAGTGGGAAATCTGCTTCTCCCTCCCCCTCTGCCCCTCCTCCCCACTCGTTCTCTCTCAAATAAATCTTCAAAAAAATTTTTAAAAAGCTACAACTTTAGGGAAGGCCCCAAAAACTACCATCCCCCTAAACCTGTACATGCTATATTAATGCTTTTAGTCAAATCTCCAATACTCTCAGTAAAGAGACAGGCACTTAACAGAGCCATCTGATGATGACTAAAAAAGGGAGGCAGGATCCTGTTGCTACTAAGAAATTATTTTCCTCTAATGGCAAATCTCTGGAACACTCAGAAACTTGGTTGGAAAGACAGGCTAAAGTGAGGATCAGCAAGACCAAATGATACTCCCATGACTGCTAAATAAATCAAAGGGTGGTAGACACCAGGAGGGTTAGCATTCCTTCACATGAAAATGGGGAAGGAATGGCTACTTCAGAAAACTGGACAACTTTCATGAGAAATTTCTATTTTGGCTAAAAACCTCAACTATTATTACTGAAGAAACTTCCCCACCACATACATTAATATTACTCCTGTCAATCTTGATGTCATTTATTTAGTCTTTGGACTTCCCTTCCCTGTACCACACTAGACTTAGGAAGGAAGTTTATTGTTACTTCTATGCAAAACAGATACTTATCCATTTGCCAAATCATGCCTAATGCCAAAATCTACTACTACCAAAGATTAAGTTCCTATAGGGATCAAGAAAAGCAGCCTACAGGCACCTGGCTGGCTGCACAGTCAATAGAGCATGCAACTCTTGATCTCTGGGTCCTGAGTTCGAGCCCCACATAGGGCATGGAGCCTATTTAAAAAAAAAAAGAAGAAAGAAAAGCAGTTTATTTAGGCATGCTCTATACCTTCAAAACTGTTTTCTTAAAGACCCAAATTTTTGGCATAACCTCGAAACAAGGTTGTAATTTATAACCTTAAAACAACTGCAAGCAACAAAAAGAAAAAAAAAAAAAGCTTTTATGGTTAAGAACATTTAGGTTAAGTTAATTATATATCTCAGTATAAAGAGAGATCATTTCCAGGCATTAAAAGCCCGAATAAGAAACACAAAATTGAACTGGGAATATTCAAGGCTGTTACATAATGAAACACCACTGATTCTGAAGGTCACTCTGTGCACTAGCAGAAATTACAAAAGTGTTTGGATACTAGAGGCTAGAGAAGAAATCAACCAACTAGATAAAGACTATAACTGATTTTGTGTTTGAAATAATCTGACAAAAGTATCTTCTACCTCCAGGATACTAATAGATAAGGTAATTCAGTTTTTGCCCAGTTTAACGTTCAAATGGAAGTTTTCAAAAAAAAAAATCTCATGATTCTCTGGTCATAACTTCTCACAATTCCACGTATTTGGCCTCCATATTCCCCTGCCCAGAATCCCTTTCCTATCTTTGGCCAAACCCTACTCACCATTCAGCATGCACTTAGTTGATGCCTCCCCTAACAAAAGTAGAACGTCTCTACAGTAGAGAAGTCTAATCACAAGAGAAATTATTTAGAATATGGATACCCACTCATTAATCTTACTTAGTCCTCCTTGCCATGAAGCCTGACATCTAAGTTTTTTTTACAGTATTAACATTGCTTATTCACTGCCCTACGGATAAAGTCTTTCTTGACCATTTTTTCCCCCCAATCTTCCCCCAACCTTGTCAGGAGCCCCATTTGTCAGGAGCCCCATACAGGTTCCCTGTAACAGAGAAAGCAATGCACTATCACAGACCATCACAAAATTGATTTTTTGATAAATTATCAAATGCCTCTTATGAAATTCAGAGCTGATTTTTATTGATAAAGTCTTAAAGGGCATTCAAAAAAATCTTCCTGCGACATGTCAGTGAATAATTTTTAATTACAGAAGATCGTGACCACCTTATAAACTACCAAAAAAAAAAAAAATGCACTGCACAGTAAAACAATTTCTGGTGTTTCTGAAAATACTTTTTCACTTTATATGAAATACAATTATGTGCTTCTGCTTGATTTTACTCTCCATTTTGAGATACTTTAGAAAAGCCACAAAATGCATCCTATACTAAGAACAAAAATCCCTAGTATGAGTTTGTGATCATAGCCTCTGAAATTTCAAAAGTTGCCACAATATTTTTCCAGTCCTGTAAACTCAAAGATATAACTCCTTGTTTCCTGCCATGAGAACTGGGATCATTTCCCTCACCCACTTGGTTAATATTAATCGGCTCTAATATCGGCAGCCTGTCTTGGTCAAGCCTTATTCTCGCAAAACCATCCCTTATAATGAAAGAAACATAAAATATATTCTCCACAGTACGAGAAAAAGAGTTTGGATCAATCACAAACTCAAAATAGGACATGGGAGTATCAGGATACTTTTGAAAGTAAGTTTGCAACAATCCCAAGATTCTTTCTACTTCTTTTTCTGTTGCTTCTTGATTATTACTCAGGTCCAACTTCCTCAGTTTTGTAGGCATATCCCCATTTTCTTCTATTTTGTGAGCTTTTTTGTGGTGTTCAAGTCGGGGCTTTGGTGCAGGTTTGGATTTGAATGAACCAAAAATAAAGTGGAATGTTTCAGCTTGCAATATCCAGGATGTTGCTTCCTTCTGTACTGTCTCCCAGAAGAAAAGAGCTATATTATCATCACAGCCACTCAATTCATCATGTTCATCATCTTCCATCCAGTTTAGACCCACAAATATAAACAGAAAGTCACAAAACGCTACTTGATTAAAAAAGCTCATATCACAGTTTAGTTGCTTTGCTTTTTCTTTACCCAAATCAGAAGCCAAAACAAGAAACTGGGCATCAAGAGCTGCTTCTCTTGTTCGGCTCACTCCATCAAACAGGACATTGGCTTCTTCGAGAGCCTCGGTTAACGAGTCGCTCGCGGTGTTCACAATGTCATCACGGTTCTGCTGGACGTTATAGATGAGCTGCCGGTACTGCTTGCGGATTTTCCGGCATTTCTCCTCGTCATCCGTAAGCCCTAGGAGGTGGGGGTCTAGGTCGGCCTCCCGACAGCTGAGGTCGTCAGAGCAGCCATCCGCCCCCACCGCCACTTCCACTTTCATCGGTTCTTCCCCACCATCCGCCTGCTTCACAGAGTACGCACTAGCAGCGATGGTCCCCACTGGCTCCTCTCCTTTCTCAACGCCTCTCCCCAGGGAACCTTTCTCATCAGACATTTCGGCGACCCGCGCACTCAGCGAACACTCAGCTAATGGCCTTCAGAGCGTTTCCGACAACAGCGGAAACTGAAGGGGGTCTGTCGGAGCTGAGGATGTCCGCCCATGCGCGCTGGCGATGGCCCGGAGGCCCCGCCCCCCGCTCGCTCCGCCTCCCGGCGGCCCCGCCCCGCGAAGCCCAGACCCAGCGCATTCGCACCCACCTCCCTGCGGCGCACAGAATGCGCGCAATAATGGGCCCCCTCTCCATATTGGAATAATACCTGCTCAAGTGATAGCTATTATTTATTTTATTGCTATTATTTATTTTAGCAATTACTGACAGTGTCATCCAGCTTTCTAAGAAATACCTGGAAAATCTTATGCCAAAATTGGCGGGGGGGGGGTTGGGCGCCAAAGGTCCTGCGCTTTAAAACATTTGCCATCACATACTGCTGTTAGGTCAACCTATGTTCTTCGTTCTTACTATGATTAAAAGGCAGGGTCTCGGGGGTTCTGTTTTTTTTGAAAACTAAATCTGGCTACGTTGTAAACTGCCCGTAAAGCCAAGCATCGCGAGTTGCAGAACGTCCACCACAAATAGATGGAATTCTCAGGGTTCATTTGCTAGGTGGCTATTTGGAATACATTCTTCATGATACAAATGCATATCAGGTTAATTACCTTCAAGGACCCTCAAAAGCCAGACCCCTTCCAACCAACGGAAGAGGCAGATGCCAGGCCAAGTGTCTGCTCGCTAGTGCAGGGGCAAAGGTGGGGGAATGTCGGGTATTACCCAAGTGACCTTCGGTTCCCCACCACCCAAGGCTGGACGCATACAGTGGGTACAGTCTCTGCAAAAGAGCGGTTTATCTGGAAGCTTGCCAAAAGCTAAAGGCCACAAACTCTGAATGGAAATAAACCTGAACCCTGAAAGGTGATTAAAGACGACTTTAAACCCAATCCGATATAAAGATATGAAAGTGAATGCTGTAAATCAATTAACTACATTGGAAAATTCACCCACTAGTTCACTGGAAATTCACGTACAGTTGGGAGAAAGGGCTTAGCTCATCAGTTTCACAAGGAGCAAAGTATATACAACAATAAGGAATACATTTTGTTTTTAAAGAGAACAAAAAAAAGTGCACTCTCAACCCACAAGATCGAAAGCTTTTCACGTCAACACGTGCCCCTTTGTGGGGGGGGGGGCACACCACAGACGGAACACCACACTGTACCACCTGTCAACTCGGGTTTCAAGGCACCAAGGAAGTAAATTAGCCCTACATTCCTTCCTATGAATCTAGACTAGTTCATTTTTCCTTGTCTTTAGCAAAGTTTCTTGCAAATGCATGAACAGCACAACCTAATATTAAATTTCTCTAAATTATTTATATTACTCTTCATCCACCACAATTTTCTTTTTTTTTTAAGATTATTTATTTGAGAGAAAGAGAGGAGCAGAGGGAGAGGGACAAGTAGACTCCACGCTGAGCCCCATGCAGGGCTCCATCCCACAACCCTGAGATCACAACCTGAGCCAAAATCAAGAGTTGGAAGCTCAAATGACTGAGCCACCCAGGTGCCCCCCACCATAATTTTCTTAAGTAGAGGTATAATTCAGGGGAAAAAATATGCTTTCTCCAAAAACACTAGGCATTATGGTTATTCATGCATACATATTACCCTGCTATATTAGACTGAACTTCTCTAAAGCAAGAATCTCGTGTTAAATCTTCCAAGCAAAGCTGTTTTCACAGGATACATTTGAGTATGCATGTTGGAATGTATAAGTGAATGTAGATGAGAAACTTTGTTCCAGTACCTACTACAAGTTATTTGACACAAAAGATTAATTTCACAGATTAGTGGGGAAAAAACAGATCCAACAAACTGAAAATAAAAGCTGACTGCTTTTCAGAAGTCAACCTTAACTCTTCTCTGAAATAAAGAAAAAGCAAGAGAAAAACAAAGGTGGGCCCCAGTATCACCAAAGGGCCATATTTTCCTCCCCAAGTCTGGCCAATTACAAATGTTTTAAATCTTAGATGCAAACACCCAGTTAATTCCAAGTTCCAAAACCAAAAATGTTTCCTTTTATAGTTAACCATATTCTTGAGAGCTTCTGATATCCTTTGCAAATTCAATAAAAGCAATTTACAAGAGAACTCCAAAAAATAAGCCAACCTTCCCCACCCTAAGGTGCCTATTTTCTCCTGTCTCAGAGGAGGGAAAACAGGCAGACACCAATTTGCTCTATACAGAGCCTTTCATCTAAGAATTTCAAAATGGCTTAGAAAAATAAGTAAATTCTCCCAACCTACTTGTAAAGTATTACTAATATCATTTACAGGGATTTCTCAGGAGATAACAGCCCACACAACTTGCTCGGAGCAACAGAACACATCAAGGCAAGCATATTATTAAGTACTGATTTCCAGTGCTGAATTCATTCATTCTATGCTAGCTAGATCCCTGTCCCTAAGAACCTTGGTAACATGTAACTTAGATCATCCTCAGAAAGCCATACTTGCATTATATTCTGCCTTTTTAACTCTGCCTTTAGAGCACAAGGTTTAAATGTTGCTACAAACTAAAAATGTCGAGTCTAACGATTTTCCTTAATCATTTAAAAAATGGATTTCTACACTTGTGAATTCTGAAATCACTAAATAGCGATTTTCTACCCTGAAGTGCAATTACTCATAATAATTATATAAATGCAGCTTAAAAAGACAGAACAGCAATAACTAATTCAGTTATGCTGGTAGGGGGAGGAGCAAGATGGCGGAGGAGTAGGAGACCTAAATTTCATCTGGTCCCAGGAATTCAGCTAGATAGGGATCAAACCCTTCTGAAAACCTACAAACTCAACAGGAGATGGAAGAAAAGAATAGCAGCAACTCTCTGAACAGTTATGCTGGTAAACTTCTCTGGACTGTAACAGCAAAAGTGCACTAGTACTTCAAAGACATCACTGAAGTCTACCATCCTCATTCAGTAAGGCTAGTTCAGGCAACCATGACACACAGCTTGGCCTCCAAGATAATTCAGCTCTTCTCCTCCCCCTTTTCCTCTTTCAGGAGTTGCTGCCAAGAACTCAGCATGGCCCTACATTTCCTTTCTTCTTTTCTTCAGTTTTTTTTTTTTTTTTCCAGTCCCTTTGCTCCAAGTTCAGACTCATTCATTCCCAGCTCTTAGGCTCTCTCCCACAACCCCCAGTGCTCAAAACAAACACGAGATGGATGTCACAGGTTAAAGGCCTCTCTATGGCCAAATAAAAAAAGAATTCACCAAGGGTCCGTGGGGTTTTTACTGCAGGATTAATCTATAACAAATGGGCACAGAAGAGGCCTCTGAGCCATAGCCAGGGGCCAATCAGGTTTGAATCCCACACTCTAGCAGATATGCTTATCCTGCTATTAGCTACCTCCCTGAACTTTTCTGTTCCTTCTTTCACAGCAGTTTTCTCTCCCCTCATTCTGCCAGGGTATCTATTTAACACTTAGCTGAGAAGAGTCTTACTGATAAAAGTGCTAGTTTGATTTGTCAGAGTAGCAGGATGTTAGGTATATTTTCTCTTTCATCTTAATTTCCTTTAAGGTTATGTTTGTGTGTGTATGTTTTTGCTTTGGTTAGTGTTTTTTTGTTTTGTTTTTAAAGATTTTATTTATTTATTTGACAGAGAGAGACACAGCGAGAGAGGGAACACAAGCAGAGGGAGTGGGAGAGGGAGAAGCAGGCTTCCCGCTGAACAGGGAGTCCGATGTGGGGCTCGATCCCAGGACCCTGGGACCATGACCTGAGCCGAAGGCAGACGCTTAACGACTGAGCCATCCAGGCGCCCTGCTTTGGTTAGTGTTTTAACATTTAAGGTAAACTTTGCCATGATCAAGGCAGATACATATTTTTTTAAATAACCGTGGACAGGGGAAGGAGGCAAACCTGGGTTCCAATCTTGACCTAATATTAGTTATTAGGGTTCCCTTGGGTAGGTCGCTTAACTGCTCAGCCTCTGGTTTCCTCATCTGAAATGTGGGACTACTACTACTTACACACCATAAAGCTACTCTAAGTACTGAATGAGAATTACGTGACAGATCTGATAATAATTTCAATTACTGAGTACTTAGTAAGTCTAATTCAACCCAAAGATAGCAAATGTTTATTAATAAACATTAGAAACTAAACAGAAAAAAGTATACAAAGCAGTAGCCTCACTCTTGCATTTGTTTTAGGACAGAAAAATATTTTAAAGGTTAAATCCATAAGGAGCAATACAGGAATATATCCCCTATAACTAATACTGGTGAAAAGAAATTTGCCATATAATGCAATTTAAAAACCTACTAAGGTTTCAACTAATGGAAGTGTATATAGTACTTTGAAGAGGTAAAACTCTGTACTAGATAATCTGAAGCAGGGTCTATGAAGAGTCTGAGGTTCTCATGAGTGGTTCCTAGGATTTCGGCACATTCTTTAAAGAACAACAACAACACAGTATCCAAAAGAGGCTTCAAGTAACTGTTCTATTCAAATAACATGGCTTTACTGTTAGTGAAGTAAAAGACAAAATGACAGTTAAGTCCCACAAAATAATGTGGACTCAAGCATTCAAATCCCTTGGAGCACATAAAGCCTCCACCCTCTTTGTGATCCATCTTACACTTCACTGACACCAGAAAACCCAGTGCCAGCTGACTTAACAAGCCTCAAGAACTAACATAAACAAGGGTGTGAGTTGAGAATAGAACCTTTCAAGTTACAAGAGCAATTACCAACTCTTTTAGGACACACCTCAGAAGTCAGCAAAGACCAGAAGCATCATTTGATAGACTATGGGGAGGAAGGTACTGGCTATGTGGTTTTTAAGCTGGCAGCCTTGCAGGAACTCACTCTGAAGGCCTGGGCTCAAATCAAAACCAGTGCTGTATTAGTTTCCATTGATTTTCTTCAGAGTCTGAGTTTCCTCCTTTGTAAAATGAGTCTATTGGATGTCTTCTCTGCCACACCGAGTGGTTGTCACTCTTTATAAAAAATCATATACAAACACTTGTTGACAAATACATCTTTAAATATATACACTGGCCCTGCAGATTTGTGTTACAGAGAGCAAAGACAGTGCCTAGCCCAAAGCTGAGAACACAGGTACTCAATAAATAGTAGCTAAATAAATGTAATGTGACTTCCTTCTCAAATGACCTGGACACACTTGCATAAGACAATGCTGCTGTCATACAGCTCTTTAAAATTGGGAACTGTTTATATGCTGCTTAGAATCTCTCCAGAATATCTTAGGGGTTGGTCTCAGATAGAGTAGTCCACCCCTATAAAATCAGGCAGCTTGTAGCTAAATACCTCACTCAAAGTGAGTCTCCTCTGGCCCTACCATCATCCATTCATTCAACAAATACTGTATGCAAACTAGGTGTTAAAACACACACACATACACACACAAGACACAAAAATAAATCATTTTTGTCCTAAAGGAACACACAATTTAGTAGGCACAAAGGAATGCAGTTCCTCTCAGCAAGCATTTAATGAATGAATGCCATTTGCCAGAGCTATGCTAGAAATACCAAGATTTGCATGGGCTCAGGCCTGAACCATGAGCACACAATCACACTGGGGAGATCAGGCATGTATCCCAATAGCTGTAACACAAAGTCAAGTGCCAGCAAGTATGAGTACAACACCATGAACTTCACAGACAGGCCTGGATTCCATTCCTGGTTCTGCCATTTAACTAGCTGTGTAATCTAGCCATGTTCCTTACATTCCCAAGGCCTCCATTGTCTCATCTGTAAAACTAGATAATACCCCCTTCTGCACAGGACTACTGTGAGAATTTAATCGCCTAGGTATCACAGCATTTAGAATCTAATGTATAGCAGACATTCAATAAATGGTAGTTACTATCATTAATAGGCATGCTCATTTAAATATTTGCTGAACTCTAATTAATATAGACATGGGATCCTAGACACAAAGAATAAAACTCACTCTGCACTTTTGATAGGAAACCAAAAAATTTTATTTGGCAGGATTCCTCCTTTTCCAGAGATAAGAATTCATAAGAAAGAATGGGCAAATCTGGCCTTGTACTCTAACACAGGTAGGCAGTTGGAAAAGTCAGTTTGAGCAGGAAGATAAATCAGAAACTGGAATAAAGAGCTGAACAAAGGAGGGAAATTTTAGGGACTCTAGCTGCAACGGTAGTCCCACTTCCGTTAGGTAAGGGAGCAGAGCAAGAGATAACCAGAAAAGCAGGTGGGCGCCAGGCCCTGGAGAAAACAGAATACCTCGCTAAGGAATGTGTTGTGTACCCTGCATGCAGAGCTGGGGGCAGGGAAGGAGCAACCAGAGGATGCCTCCAACATCCAGTCCAGATGGACTGGAAGGGGAGGGAGATCCAAAGTGTGAGGCCTGTTAGAGAGACTGCTGAAGCGGTTTAGGCAAGAGGAAATGAGGACCTGGAACAGCCCTAGCAAAAGTTAATAGAGGCAGTGGGCATGTGAGTCAGGCCCTAGCAAGTGAATAGATGGGAGAGGCCAGAAGCGATCTGAAGCCAGAACCAGTAGAACAGTGAAAGAATAGATGAAGAGCAAAAAGGAGGTTTGTGTTGTCACTTAGTTCAAGTGGGAGGAAGAGCAATGGAGTCTCAACACGGATTCACAACCACTAAAAATTTTACTACATAAATCAGCCCCAGAGAAATTTATTTGCAGTCCTAACAATCCAGGCCTCTTTTAAATCTCATTATTACCCCTTACCTTCTCAGGTCAGCCAGAGTCTGTTCACTTCCCTCATCTTCAAAGCAGTCCTCCCATCCCCCTCAGGCCTCAACCTTCTCTAGGCCAAAGTAGGTACACCCCTAATCTCCCCAGGATTATGTCAGGGGGAAGAATCAAAAGAAATAAAGTTTTCTGCCAATTTTGGTAGAGTATTAAGAAAGGAAGGGGATGGCTGGAGAGTTATTAAATTACCACTCATTTCCCGATGTTTATTCGGTTAAGAGTCTGGTTTCTGGCTTGAAAGGGGGAGACCTGCCTTTGTTTTAGTGGCTACCTACATAGCCATGGATCATGGGGCCTGAGCCTCACAGCAACAGGATCACATCTGAGCTCTGCCCACAACTGGCATCCAGGTGAATTATGGAGACAATCAGGCACTGCTTTATGCCTGGCATCTCTCCTACTATTACCTTGAAGAAATTAAGTCCCCTGTTGCTGGCTTTAGTCTTATCTCCCAAGACCATTATCTCAAACTACTAGTCTTAATTATGTCCTGCACTCAGTAATGCCAATACTTTCCCATTCACTTCCCTTGTCCTCCAACTCTAATTATTTAGCAACCAATCTTGACCAAACTACCTTATACATTAAAGTAAGTCTCAAATGTGATATTCATCCTAAGAATTACCTGAGGGACTGTGCTTAAAATAAATTAAAAGGCAGATCCTAGCCCCTTCCAGAGGGTTTACTGAAGACCTCAGGTAAAGCCCAGGCATGTACCTTTAACAAGCACTCCAGGGGATTCTGTGCAGGTGGCCCATACACTGCTTTTTTGAAATACACTTCCTTACAGCAAGGTAGGCGTTGCTGATGCTCCAGCTACTGTGTTTACTGAGGGGAAAGGGAGACAAAGGAAGAAACAAGAGGAGAAAGGAAAAGCAGGCATTTTGAAGAGCTCCCTCTCCCCTATTTATGCTGCAATTGAAGTATAAAATCTTAACCTTTTTTTTAAGGTGTGGACTTTAGGATTATAACACTAATCCTATAAACACTTAAATCTCCACTAAATAAATGCCTTCCTCCACCCTAACCCAACGTTCCCTAAAGATTTTCAAAACCCATCATTTAGCCCCAAATGTGGGCAACGGTTGACTGGAAAGTCACAAACATTTCAAATCAGTAGTCTTTACTTCCTTGTGTCTCCTTCCATTTCTTACTACTCATTAGAAAGCAAAAATAAATGATAGAAAATAGAGTGGTAAGCTTACTTAGAAGAGATGTGCTAAATATTTTTTTTTTATTTTAATTATGACTTGGGGGTATACTTTTCAATCTTGGCACTGCACCTCACTAAATGTCTGAAATTAACTACCATCTATGGACTGAAAACATCAGATCATACCAATAAAGTGGATTCAAAGCTTATAAAAACAGTGATTCTTTTTACTCCCAATGATGCTAAAACCAGAACCATTTGTAGAATTTATATAAAGGTCAAATGCCCCTAAAACTTTTTAAGTGCAAAGTTATGACACAAGTAGAGAAAACAGAACAGAAAGTAATATTAATAGACCTTTGTCTCATCTTACTTGCAAACTAAAGGTCTAATACAATACATTTTAAATCACGCTAAAAGCCTTTTTATCCTTTATTTCCCATTAAGTTGCTATTTGTTTTTGAAGCCTATCTGCATTTCCTATTTCATTACCCATTCTTCAAAAATGGTAAATAAGATTTTCTTAGAAGAAAAGGTAGCAAATAAAAATGCAAATTAATTTTCTTCCTCATATGCACATATCTAAGTAATTTTTACATTTAACGGAGGCCTCAGGTTTACTTCTAAGAAGGCAATGTTCCAGTAGGAGTTCCATTTCTTAAAAATTACAGGGATATAAACAGGTAAGGACAAAAAAGATCATCCGCAAAAATTAAAGCAAATGCATCAAGGTGATGAGATTATGAGGCTTTTCTAACCTGGTAGCCAACCACACCCGGTCTGCGCTGGGTATCCTCCTAAACACTCACCCCGCCTCCAAGCATTTTGCCAGTACCATAGCCAGACCCATCCGCCCGACCCCACGGTGCACGGTCCTAAGGGAGGAGTGCCATCACGCTTGCCACCAGCCAAAGGAAAGATTTCTTTCTCTCCTTTCCCTCCACCCAACTGTTAACTCTGGGCCAGAAAAGAGATCCCTGAAGGGAAATGAACTCACTCCTGAAGCTTGCAGGTTGCTCTCCCCAGAGCCTGGGGCTCCTGGGTTTCCCTCCCAGAAAATTAAAGAGAAAGATGATAGGGATGGACGAAGATATGCATTTCCTGATCCCCTTTTCTCAGTACTTCTCCAAACAACTCACTTTCGGCAGTTTACACTGCTGCTGGATAATTTTAAGTTATCTAGATTGATTAGGAGGGGCAAAGGAAGGCAAAGTAGGAGGAAACAAATTTTCTGAACACGTGTTTTAAAAGATGAAAAGTTACATATTCCCTACCAAGCCTCCCCAGTTCTGAATTTACCCGCCGACTCATCAACTTCCATCGACACGTGAGCTGGCCCCTGTGTGTTTCTTTGTCGTTTTTAAGGACATGCTCCGTGTGGAAGTCCGTTCACATCCACCCCGGCCTTGAAGGGAGGGCCGCGAGCACGGCGGGCTCGACCAGCTCATTCACAGAGCAGGCGGATCAAGAACGTTAATGCCCCCCACCTACCTTCAGAGTTGGACCATGGCCGCCTATCTTTTGCCGCTTCACGAACACCACGGGCACGTCGGTTTCCGAGGTCAGCTGCGAGAGCGCTCTCTCCAGGCCCCCGGCGTCCTCTGCGGCACAAAAGCAGAGAGGGGCGCGGGTCAGCCCCGCCGGCCCGGCCGCGGCGGGAAGTGCGCGGCAGGGGCGGGGCTTCCGCGTCCCCAACCACGCGGCCGGGGAGACGCCCGCCCGCCGCCCGCCGCCCGCCGCCGGCCACCGCCCCCCCGCGCTCCCGCCCGGCCCCCTGCACACCTGCGCGCGCTGGCCGCGGCGCCTCGGGCCGGCTCCGGACGCCGGAGGGCCGGCGGCGCTCAAGTGCTGGCCGTCTCGCCGGAGCAGGCGCTCCGGATCCTGGTCAATCCCCACTGCACCAGGCCTCGCACAGGAGACAGGCAGCTCCGCTTCTATAAAACGCCTCCAGATGTAATCTGCCTTTGAACTCTGCATCTATACAGAATGCCAAAAGCCAGCTTCCCAGGTTTCTTTGAAATTTGAAACCACGAGGCAAAATTAGGAACACTCTGCCCTCTTAGGGTGCTTTCATTTCAAAACCTGGAAGCCATACAGCAACACCCTGCTTGACAGACCGGGAGCTAATGGCCCAATTTTACAAACGGGTGAACTCAGGTAGGGAGTGAGTCAGTGATGGAGTTAAAAATAGACTCCAGTTACTCTAACATCATCAGGCCCATTCATGAGGCAGAAATCACACCGACACTCAGAAGTGGCGGCTGTCTAACAATAATGGCAGCTAGCATTTCTTCGGTGCTTTGCACGTATCGACACTTCATCTCCACAAATGCTCCTTTGAAGGAGGTCCCAGCGGGTCCATTTCACCCGAGTTCAACTGGCTAGAAAGTCCACAGCAGAGCCATGCCTCGAACCCAGGCGGGGCCCTGTACCCTTCTTCACCGCCACCCAGTACTGCCCGTTACAGCGAGACACGCGCTGGGTGCCCTCGTAAGCTGTCCCGGTTCAGAGGCTGGGGCAAGTCACGTGATTCTGAGCCTCGGTTTCCCGAACTGTAAATAGGGAGATACAGACGATTTGCCAGCTCAGGATTTCCGGGGATTAAACGATGCGAAAATTTATTAAGAGCCCTTTTTAAATCGTTATACTCCCTTAGTACTGTCGAGGATCTGTCAATCTACTCGTCACATTATCATCCACGTTCCGATACTCATGCAGTAGGGAATACAAACACTCATTTTTTTCCCCCACCTTTCTGCACACTGTCTCTACAGAGCTAGCGGAAGGAAGCCACCAGCCGACCGGGGCCGGCCGGTCTCACCTACCCCAGGCTAAGCTTTCACCGACCCACGCGCAACAATAACGCGGCCAAGAAGCTCACCGCCTTAGAAAAGCTTCACCCCTACTCAGACACACCTCAGAGCATTTCCCCTTTCCGCGATCCAAAGCGCACCCGGCAGGCGGCTGCCCCCGGCCCCGGCCTCACAGCCCAGAGGCTCGGAGCTCTGCCCGGTTTCCGTGAACCCACCGCTGGCGTGAACCCGCGCGCCGGGGCACCAGGCTCTTCTCGCTGGCGGCCCCCGCCTTCCGCTCCGAGGCGCTGCGGACTGCTGGAAAGCGAGGCGAAAGGGTGGCGGGCTCCCCGCGGCCACCAGAAGCCACGCCCTGCTCGGGCCGGTCGCCAGAGTCAGAATGACAAAGCAGAAATCCACTCCCGTGCCGCACAGCCGACTACGCCGACGGGCTTAGCGCGGTGGGACCTCCTAATTGGGTGACACCACATCCTCTTCCTGCTCATAGCGCCCCCAACCCGAGAAAAGAGCAAAAACAATGTGAGGAATGTTTGGAACCAGAACTCAAAGAAGAGTGTTTTAACGAAACAAAACTGGACTATGCCCTAAGGCAGTGACTCCGGAACTTTGCTGCCCATTGTAATCACGAGAGGCCCTTTAAAAATACTGACGCCTCGTTCCCACTCCCAGACATTCTGAGGTAATAGGTATTGGGTGCGACCTGGGCATCTGAGGTGGTGGTGGTTGTTTTTTTTTTTTTAATTCCCTAGGTGATTCTAGTGAACAGCAAAGTTTGGGACCCATTGCCCTAAAGTAATGGATTAGTCAGTCTGGCAATTCTCTAAAGGAAATTATCAGGCTTTTAAAAGAAACGTCTGGGGCGTCTGGGTGGCTCAGTCGGTTGAGCGACTGCCTTCGGCTCAGGTCATGATCCTGGAGTCCCGGACTGAGTCCCGCATCGGGCTCCCTTCTCGGCTGGGAGTCTGCTTCTCCCTCTGACCCTACCCCCTCTCATGCTCTCTCTCTCTCTCATTCTCTCTCAAATAAATAAATAAAATCTTTAAAAAAAAAAAAAAAAGAAACGTCTAACTCATGCCGGGTAATCTTGGAAAGTGACAAATTCTCACCAGCACATAACTTCCCCTTATATCCTTCCTCCTTAACCCACTCAGGTTTTGCTTTGTTGTGTTTGTTTTAGGGAAAACAGTATATTTGACTCCAGCCATGCCAAACCACCTGCAGCTGCCCGAGTGAGCCATGCTCTCTCATACTTCCTGCTCTTATTCATATTCTTACTCAGCACCTTGCATCAGTAGGTAGCTACGAATATTTGCTGAATAAATAAATGAGTGAATGAATGTCTCTCCCATTTCTTTGGATACTGGCCCACTGAAGCAGGCAGGGGTGAAAGGATTGTTGGTTTCTTAAGGCTGGGAGCAGCCATGCCTTCTCTGAAGTGGCAGGCAACCACAGTTTGCTCCTGTGGGTCCGTTCCAAAGCACAAGTTAGAGGCTTGGTATATAGCCTCTCAGCTTCTGAACACGGGTGCACTTGTGCAAACATACACACACACAGCATACGTAAATGGTCATTCTCCGTGCAGGTTGATTGTATGCCTAAGTGCGTGCCTCACCTCTTCTGGGATCCTTCGAACAGAGGTCTAGCACAGTGTTCAGGAAACAATGTGATTTAAGGAGCAAAGGATGAATAATGAGAGGGCAAGAAAGCCAGGACTCCGAGGTAGAAAACAACATTTCCTCCTGGCTGCTGGGTCCAGCTCTGTTAACCGTTTTATATGCATTAGCTCATTTAATCTACACAGTAATGACCCATGAATCAGGGTCATAAACTCCTCATTCTTAAAATATATAGAAACTACAGCTTCCTTCAAAGGTATGTCTCAAGATAGAGAGGGACTATAAAATCATTTAACTGGAAATAATACACTAAAAGCAAGTGATAAGGATTGATTTCTATGAGCCTCATATGACAGGTCAAGAGTTGCCATAGTTCGTATCTTCTAACAGCATATCAAAAAAGGCATTTTAATTTCACAGTGTTCTTAAGTGAGCAAATTATAGCACAAATACCTAGAGTAGCTCCATGTAGTTTAAGTTAAAAAAAAAAATCACCATTTTTAAAAACCGTCACATTTCTTTCAAACCTTTCTTGCTGCAGTTAAGGGCCCAGATGCCTTACCCTTGCCACAAAATACAGAAAACTCCTTAGTTATACTTAAGCGTCTGGGTAGTGGAAGAAGGGCTTCATCTCCCACCATTTCTCATCATGCAGCATTTGTTCTAGACATAACTCTAACATCTCTTGACTGAGCTCATGTTATTCCAGCTGCCTAAAATAAGCTTCCCTCCCTAAGGCCTACTCCTTCAAAGCTCATCTGAAATGTCATGTCCTCTGGGAGGCCTTCCCTGATTCCCACCCGATGTTGATAGCTCCTTCCCTATTCTGGGATCCCAAATACCTAAGAATAATTATAAATCATGCAAATCCAAATGGGCTTTGGGAAGGCAAACCCTTGTTTGATTTATTTAGTCTTCCCAGAACCTGCTATATATAGTAAATTACTCAGGAAATGCTGGAAAAGACCCTCGATGTTCCTGAGCTCTCCTGTAAGCACACTATAAGCAGATTTTTGCAGGTATTTGAGCAAGGGTCCTATCACATTAAACTACTAGTCCTCCTACAATAAGTTTCTCTCACACACACATACACCACACTGAGCTAGAACAATCTTTCTGACTCTCAAATCTTCTCTGCTCAAAACTTGTAGCTCTCCAGGACCCGCAAAATAAAGTCCAAACTCAATTGTACTGACTTGGCAAGGCCCACCGTTGTTAAACCTAGCTGTCCACATATTCTGTACCCTACTTATACAGCAAAACATTGCTGGAGAAAACACAGAAATTAAAAGTGATTTCACTTCAAAGTCAAGATCGCAACCTTCAATGTGTCCCCAAAGCTGCCCAGCAATCGTTTGCGTCTCTGGCAGATTTGTTTTCCTAGTGTCCAAAGTAAATATTTCATACTTATTCCTCTTTTCTCAAACCTTTAATACACCTACACCTTGCCATTAACTCATGACCTGCTTTCTACTTTAAGAAAATAGAATTGATTGCCTGATTGATTGTTCTGTCTAGAACTCCCTCCCATTTTCCTCTCAATCACCAAGCTGCCATATTCTCTACCTTCACCCGTTTTAATGAAGGCCGACTTCGCCACTTGTGTACAGATTCTCATTTCTTCCTGCCTTCTCCATCTTCAATAACTTCACTCCTGAAATTAGTCTCCCTCTCTGGTATCATCAGTTTCTTGTTCTCTGCCTGATCATTCCATCATCATATATACTGTAGTTTTCCCATTTAAAAAAAAAAAAGCCTCCCATGATCCCATGTGCCCAACCCCCATAGTTACCACCCCATTTCATTGTTCCCCTTCACGGGGCGGGGGGGGGGGGCTGGGTTTGTTTGTTTGTTTGTTTTTAAAGATTTTTTTATTTATTTGATAGAGACAGTGAGAGAGGGAACACAAGCAGGGGGAGTGGGAGAGGGAGAAGCAGGGTTCCCGCTGAGCAGGGAGCCTGATGCAGGGCTCCATGCCAGGACCCTGGGATCATGACCCAAGCCAATGGCAGACACTTAATGACTGAGCCACCCAAGTGCCCCTGAAAAAAACTGTTTGAAAGAATTCTTTGTACCCTGAAAAAGAAGTAGGGTACAGAAGTCAGGAAAGATCTAAGAATATGGCACTCGAGCAGAGAGCAGAGTGAAAGGAGGGAGCAAGACTTAAGGCGG